TGTGTGTGTGTTTGAATTATTTAAATAAAAAAAAAGATTGAGCAGTTATTTAATATTATTTATTATTTTAAAATAGAAATATTTTCTGACTTATATTTCTAATTTAATATTTTGAGTTTTTGAAATCTTTGGAACAACGTTTCATATTATTTAATATTTTTTACGAATACGTTTCAAAAAGAAATGACCAGTAGAGCTAGAGCTATACCTATCTACACGAGCCATGGTGAGATGAACGGTGACTGTTCGCTCTTCACCCGTGTGAAGCTGGCCTCCCAGTATTAAAAAATCGATTCTTTTCTTCATGCATTTGTTTGCTAATCGTTTATTCACGAATTCTCAGTTGAAATTTTCGTTTGCTCACCCTTAGTTCAAAAGATTTATGAGCAAACTAACGATGAGCAAACGAATGCATGAAGAAAAAAATCTTTTTTTTAATTCGATACCAAAACTTAATTTTCTTGTATCTTTTAAATTAAGGGTGAGCAAACGACAATCGATTGATTGTCTGTCTTTATTTGTCTAACGGATCGATAATAATGGACTTAGGGAAGATTCGAACCAAAAAATCATGGACATTACCGACACGATCGTGGACATTGGCTACATAGTTTAATATCCACGTTTTGTGGATATAGAGGCGCTTCAAAATAAAGTTGCAGCTAAATCCCGCTCTCAGGCTTCTCTCTGCTCTAAGGATAAATACACAACCTTTCTCTTTCTCTCCTTCGACGACGCGACGCGTGACGCGCTCAGTGGAAACTCAGCCTAAAAGAATCAACCAATTAGAGTCCTTCTTTTCCTCCCACTTCACGGAAGAGAAGCATTTTGATTCTCTTATGCGTCATGCAAAAGTGTGTATATTCACTGAATTCGGTATATACAAAGTACGGTATTGTCGGTAAAAAATGCATGAAATCTTAAAAAAAAAAGAAATCATGCATTTTAAATCCTAAAATGCATAAACAGAGTATGAACATAAAATATAAAGCCGTTGAACAATTGAAGAAAAAACCCGTGCAAGCCTCAAAAGCATAATTGAAAATTTTGTGTAAATCAATATAGTATTTTTATGTCGGATGCGATAATTCCATCATGTATAATAATTTGAGTAAAAGAAAAACAAAGCGTCGTCAAATAAACAAAAAGAATATCATTTGGAGACAACGGATGTCTCGGTGACAACTTCAATGTAATGACGAGGACATGCCTCAACGAAATTCGTGGTGCTGTTAAAAAACATCCCGCATTTTACAACGGGTTTACCAAGATCGTTTGTCACATCGAGAAAAGTGTTTATTCTAAGAGTTTATTCAGGTAATTTTGCGTATAAGTGTAGTAGAATCTCAGAAAATTTAAAATATAGCTTCAAAAAATTCGAATTAGTCCTGTGATTCGCAATATGGACCCAGAAGGGATTTATCGTAAATAATTTTCTTTTATTTTTTATTTACAAATAGCGTTGTGTCGCATAACTAGAAAATGCTAAAAATATGAAAACATTATTTTAAACAGAATTCCGTTGATAAATGTTTAGTATCTAATAATTCTCTCTCTCTCTCTCTCTCTCTCTTTGTACTATTCATTCCTTATGTAATAACTTGAAATTTAATGATTAGAAATTTATAAAGAGAGTCAAGTAAAAAATTGCAAAAATGGTTCGACCGTCGCATCCGCGACTTATGGCTCGCGTGTTAGATGCGGTAGTAAATCTTGGCGACACCAGAGGTTCATCAGCTCACGAAGTTCTCAGTTTTATCCGACTTAGCAATGTATCGTCGAAAAATTTGACGCTGCAGGTGATACACGAAATTATTTATTGTGCTTGCGCCTACAGACATTTTACATTTTAAATATTTTTCTTAGACGGTTTGTGTTTATTTATCACAGTAATTATAGTGTATGAAACGCTTCTAAGAATTCTGATTTTCCAGAAATGAAAATAAATTTTTTGCGTCTACTTACATTTTTATAATATAAAATTTAAAAGGATTAAACTTTAGATAGAAAGTTTATAATCTTTTTAAATCTCTCTCTTTGTTTTGTCCTTTTCTCCAGTCTTATTTATGTTATAAACACTTTGAAAATCTTTATCATGGATTATTTTTTAATGAATAGAAAAAGGGAATTCATAATTTCTATTATGATCAATAATAAAACTCAGGTAATTTAAGTATTTTAAATGTTTCTATGATATACTCGATAGGTACATCGAGCTTTAAAGCATGCGGTAAATGCTGGACTTTTACGACGTAGAAGTGGTCGTTATAAAGCACTGGCTACATTGAATCCTAATTATGTCTCTAATTCTGCTAGTAAAGAACCACCTGCTAGTAAGGAACCCGATAATAATCAGATAAACGACCAGAAAAAATTGAAGTCCGATGTACAAGCACCGATTAGCGATGTTGAATCCTCTCGAACACAAAAGCGCAAGTACGCCGTAATTTTTCTACACGTAGGATGACGAATTTACTTGTGTTCTTTTTCGATGAAAGTTTCAAAGACGATAACATTGTTCGATAAATTTAAACCTTTTTCTAAACAACGAACGAGACCAAGTAATTTTTATAGATTTTTGATCGCTGAAAATGAATTTGTAAATAAAATAGATATTAAAAGTGTTCAAAATGGCATTTTTGTACTTGTATTTTTAACTGAAAAACGTGACATAATGCAATTCATTTACATTCAGGATTTGTTTTCAATAACAAAAAATTTATAAGAGACACCGTGGTCTCAAATCCGTGTCGAACAGTCTAATTTATATACATATATTGCACTTATGCTTAAATTTTATAAATAGTCTATCAAAATTTATTATATATAATAAATAACGTTTACAAAGTTTGTCATGAATGAATGATAGACTACTATAAGGAAAAACACGAAGAAATTGAAATTACTGTAATTTTCATTGATATTTATAAATATATAGGAAAAAAACTACTCGGCGACGAAATAATAGTAGACATCGTAATACTAAAGTAAGAAGGAAATCTCGACGTTCGCCATATACTAGACGATCCAATCCCACCCAGAATCGAAAGGTGCGTTAATTAGGGTTATTATTGTCCGAATAGTTTAAGCTATTTTGACAGTAAAATATTCAATTTTATATACATACATACTTATATGTTGAGGTTTAGGTGTATGGAATGAGCAACTCGCGATTATAACTCAACTATGTTAATATATTTACTATATTAATAATAAAATCAAATTTTTTTTACTTTTTGTTTAAAAATAACAATATAAAAATAGAAATATTTGATCATAAAACATACGACAAAAATACAAAACAAAGATGACATAAAAAATATTATTTTATTTATTAAAAAAAAATATTTAAAAGTATTTTAAAAAATATATTTTTGATTTTAAGCTTTTATTGTTAGTAAAAAGAGGCCGATTTTTGCTCATAAAGGTGTAAGTAAAGAGAATAGCGTTTTTTATCTATATTTTGATTTCCTGTATATGATGATGTTAATAAAATATTCGGGATCGATAGGGAACACTTTGAAAATTAAACATGAATATGGTGTATTAACAGAATTCAAATGCTGTATAGAGCTATCACAAAATGCATCCGAGTTTTTTGAGAGGAAACAGGTGTGTGTGTGGGTGCGCGCGCGCGTATCTACTTTTGTTTCTTTTAAGGGGGAAACCTGAAAAGTAGCTGTTTTGCGAATTTTTTATGAACAAACCATGAAGCCGAGCTTTCTAAAACTTTAGGGGTGATTTGTTATATATTTCAACAATGTAAAAATAATTTTTTAATATGAAAATAATGAATATAACAATAAGTTATATTAATAATTATTGTGCTTCGGCATAGACATTGTTAATTGGCGTGCAATATATCAAACTAAGAATGTAGAACTTTGAAAAAAAGTTACGATTTTGAACATAAAATTTCGACTTCTTTACATGTTTTATTAAATAAAACATGTAAAATGTAATTTTAACATTTATGGTAATGATAGCGACAGCAACGTAAGCACACACACGAAAACGATGAGGAGTTCGAGGATCATTCATCTGAACAGGATTTTTTGCATAGAAGAGACGATTCGCCTATATTAATCAATCGCAAAACGAAACGTTCAAGAGTATCCAAGCGAAAACGAGAGTCCGACACCTCTGATGAAAGTGAATGTAACAGCGACGTGAGCCAAAAATACATTTTTCAAGGTAATTTTAATCACGTCAGAAAATAGAAATTGTACTAAATTAAGAATACTTAACCTGCTGTCTTTTTTATTTAAAACAATATTAATAAATATAGAAGACTAAGAGCAATAACTAGATTACATTTGCTAACTTTTAATAATCTTAATATAAATTAAAATAAATACAATAATATACGTTTCGACATATAATTCGGTGTTGTTTAAATAACTGCCTGGACTGTCACATTCTAAACACAAATGTTTTGTAAAATTACATGCTTTAGATTAGTGTATTAAGAGGCCTTCCAATGAACAATAAGTTATCTTTAAGAGACTCCTAAAAGGTCGAATTAAAATTAATTAATAATTAATTAATATACGTAGTATATAAATTCACACGGAATTATAGTTAGCATCTAAGATCCAGCTCGACCGTCAAAGGCATTTTCTTATTGGTTGTGTTTCTCACATGTACGGTATAAGATTTAACATTTAAATATTGTTTAATTTAAATGTTCGTATTTATACAGAACGTATTATTTACTTCAAAAATTTAGTTACTAATATATAGTAATGTAAATTTAATAACAATTGTTAATAGCAACTTATTCTGTAATTCAGCACTAGTTGTAATGAATCCAAATCAATTAGAGTATAGTCAAAAGATATTTTCTGTTTAATTGCGGTAATATTAATTCATCCATATAAATCGTGTAGTGGCAACGATCAGAACTATCTCATTCTATTCATTTATCAATTTAATTATCTATGTACGAGAATAAGTCAATAAGTTTTTAGAAAAACAGTGAAACACATAAAAGCAGATGTATCTCATTATGTTTACGCGCGATTACAAACTCATTTTGACTCGGGTACGTGACATATGCTGATTTACGAATTGTCATAAAACATTATCTTATTCTTGTTCTGAAAAATGTTTTAAACAATTATGTCCAAAAAACATTTTAATAAAGGTATTTTTATAGGATTTGACTAAAAGTCGTGTTCAAGACATCTTTCTGTAAAATTTTAAAGTGGTCTTGAAAAGAACGTTCGAAAAATTGCTTAAAAAGAATTGCCTTCTTTATGACTTGAGTAAAAGTTATCTTAAAGACGTCTTTTTGTAAACATCTTAAAGTTCTTTTTTAAGACGTCTTTCGGATTATCTATTAGACGTTCACGTTCACGTTTCACTATTTAGTAATGAAAATTGAAGACTAAAATATATGAAAAATTTATTATGAATAAAAATTTCTTATTATAGATAAAAGAAAATCAATAAAAAATTTGGCAACTTTATTTGGCAATCTTTAAAAATTAATATCTGGTTAATTATTGTGAAAATATTGTAAAATGATTCAAAACTTTTTCAAAACCGACTCAATTATTGATCAGGAATATCTACGTATAATAGCGCAACGTGATTAATAGGCATTTTTTAAGATATACACCCTGATGTATATTTAAATTTACACACACATAACACATCAAATTTGTTTAACAAAGTAGTAATCGTTATTACTAACATATATCTTTTTTCCATGCTATCATATATGGTATTTAAAAACAGTTTGTAATATATAATTATATTAATCCATGTTATAGCAAAAGAATCACATCGTAAATCCAAACGTAAGGAGGCGCGCGCGAAATCGAAGGATAGATCAGCATCTCGTGCTCGAAATCCGCAACTAAGTAAACTGGAAGAGACCGAAAATGATGGGCAGCGATATGATGAGAATCATGGATCCATGGAACACAATGTCGCACGTCAAGAAGAACACAAAGACGTCGAGAGAATTCACGAACCAAACAACAGCAATAGCGGCAGTATCCTGGAAAACTCGAGAGACTGATCATATTCTTCTAGTCTTATTTCATTCTACATGTACCAATATTTAATCTTCTACTGCTTCTTTGGCGACTATTATACATTTGTCTATCTTATTTTTTATTTTTCTATATTGGAAAGTCTTGTTGAAAGATTTTGTGAACTTTTTAATCATGGATAATTTGAAATAAATATGTCTATATGTGATAGATGGTTTTGTGCATTATAGAAAAATCCGTTTTTATTGTTATTTTTTATGATTCGATTAATTTAAAATGACTTTTAATTTAACAAAAACAATATCCGTTTAAATTATAACTTGTACTGTCAAGTTAGATTTAAATTTCTTTTGGCATAAACTAATAATAAAAAGAGAATTACTATATATATTTAAAAATATTTTTTAAGAGAAACATTTATTTTAAGAAGAAAAATGATCTAAAACCTACTACATAAATTTACAAATTGTACTGATAGATAAGTATAAAATAATTGTAACATGCGAATTTTTTTTATCCTTTTTAACAATGATTTTAAATGACTTTAATTTTGTTAAAAAACTACAGACAAACTACAAAATGAAATTACTTCGTCAAAAATTATCGTATCGAGATGATTAAAAAAGCATCTTAAGGCTTGAAATTTCTACTTTTCAGACCGGTATTCCAAAAAATGGTCTTACTGATATTTCGTCAAGTTACACAAACATAAATAAAAGTGCTTCAAACCTGACAATTTTATACGAAATTTGAGGAGTTCCATGGAGCCAAGTAAAAATTGTGCACAAATGCGGTTTACAGCTTTCGAAAGAGTGAATCTTTACCTTCAATTTGTTTTTTTGTTGAGCTCTGTATGATTTTTTTTCACCGAGTTATTCAACATTGAAGTAAAAAGGCCATTTTTACTTAAACATTAATAACTCGGTGAAAAAAATCGTACAGAGCTCAACAAAAAAACAAATTGAAGATAAAGATTCACTCTTTCGAAAGCTGTAAACCGCATTTGTGCACAATTTTTACTTGGCTCCGTGGAACTTGGCAAATTTTGTAAAAAATTTTTAGGTTTGACACACATTTATTTATGATCGTGCAACTTCATGAAATATCAGTAAGACCGTTTTTTGAAGTACCAGTCTGAAAAGTAAAGATTTCAAGCTTTAAAATGCTTTTTTAAACATCTTGATAGGATGATTTTTGACGAAGTTATTCTATCTCAAAATTTGTCTATTTTTGCAGGGTGGAACAAATGATCCTTTAATTTTGTTGAGAAGTGTGTATATATATATATATAATATATATTCACGCGGGCGAAATGAAGCGTTTAAAATCACAATTTGATTAAGGGGAGGTTATTTCAGATTATTAGAATTGCGTTTCAAGACCGACGATAGTTCGGCGCGCAATTTGGGGGAAATTTTCAGATCGAATTGCGTTTCAAGACCGACGATTGTTCGGCGCGCAAGTTGGAGGGGGGGTGGGAGGGTAATACATATATTACTTTAAATAAATATATTGCGAAGAATATTACTACGTCGACTCGCCATCAGAGGTCTATAGATATTCGCAAAAATTCTCGCAAGTGCTTGGAGACGCGTATATCTGTATATATAGATTCTCGATCTAATAACTTAAACAGGCGTCTAAGGTAGGCTTCCACTACAATACCTTACCGATGAGTCCAGTAGTGGAAGCTGGGACGAAACGCCATAATTACGTGATATTCTTCGCAATATATTAGATTATAATTTAAAAAGATTTTAACGATATTATTG